CACTTTTCTGTCTATGTGAACTCCCTTTAAATGTAAGATAATTACTTTCTAGAAAGAATTTCAAGCTTTTTATTATTTCACTGTTGTCCAGTGAATATCTTTGTGACAGGGTTGTATCTGATTCTAGTAGACTGGAGATGATATCAAGACTTTCGGTAATAGGGATACTAGTATATAATGAGTTAATATCATAGCTAGCCATAATGTCTTCTTTATCAATTTCTCGGTGTTCTATTTGGGATTTGAAATCGTATGAATTTCTTACAATATTTTGAGTATCCTTTTGTACTGGTTGTAGTATCGAGAGTAAGTATTTAGCGAGGGGAGAATGCCTGTCTTTATCCAACTCAATGTTAAAGGTGAAAATATTGCAGCAATAGTCAACAGAAGGTTGAATACTTCACTGGACAGAGCCTATCCTACAGCTACGTTTATTCCCATCTATCGAACAACATGCCTTTTGGTGAAATCAAAAATCTACAGATACTCTTCTCATGTTAACACCAACTGTGTGTACAAATTTACGTATATCTTCGATAGCAGTTGCATTCGGAGAACAGAAAGAAGAAGGGTACACAGCCTACGTCCGAAGAAAACAAATGCTTTCAACAGCGCTATCGCAAGGCATTTTCTTGACACGGATCGCGAGGTGGATGTCACACGATCCCTCAAAATTATCACTAGGCAAAGGAGTTGAATTCTCTCTCCTCAAGTTTTCCGAAGCAATCTACATCAAGCACCAGAAACCCGATTTATTTGTTTAGAAAGAAGCGGTTATCAGTATTTCCTTATCCACCTGGTAAATAAATGTCTTTATTCTTTCTTCCATTTGATTACGCAACCTTTGAAGCTGAAAACTTCATTCTGTATGATTATTACTGTTTGAAATAAAGTGGTTATTATTACTATTAAAATTGTATGCATAGACCGATTTTTTGTTTACACCTGAACTCTATGGGTCTGTTGAAGGTCCTGGATTCGAACTCCATTGTGTGCGTACTGCTGATTATTCCCAAAACTAGGATGAAACAGCCGTCCAGTACTTCCTGGCTGGTTTTCAGTGGTTCTCTAACTGATTAAAAATGCCTATTAAATGTTTCAAAAGAACGGTTAAGGGGTAAAGAATATTCTTCACGAAAATACTCAGAGTCCTTTCAAGTTGATTTTGTATTTTTCACATAACCTAATACTATTTAATAGTGACGCAGATGTTAACATCTTAAGTTGTGTTTTGATATGGTCAGAAAATATGAATTTTTACTGAGCATCACTCCTGGATTTGTGACAATCACATATTGACTTCATTTCGTTGGTGCACTTTCTGCATTCAAACTAAGACACATGAGTTTCCCTCGTTAAAGTTTGTTTCAGATATACTTAGATCAGTGAGTAATTGTGTTCATGATAAGTTGAGTTTCTGATGAGATGTAACTATTTCTTTTCTCCGGTGTAATCTATGTGTAGTAGAGTGAACATGGGATTCATGAGCCGGTCACTTAGTCAGATTCCAGTGTCTGAATGGTCTGCAAGCTAGCTTGACTTGTAACCAGAATGTCTTGGGTTGGAACTCTGTCAGTTGGTTTGGTTCGCACTGCTGAGGATTCCCAGAGTAGGGTAATAAAACAGCTGGCTGCCCAGTATTCAGGTCCTCGTTTTTCAATGGTTCTCTAACTGACATCAACTCATGATGAAATCCTGTAACCAATCGGATCCCTACAAATCAACACTTGCATAATGCATATTATTATTTTGAGTTGAGAAATTGTGGTGAAACTTTCCTCTTCTTTTTCTTCTCCTTGTGTGTTTTCTTCAGATATTATCAATACGCCATTCGTTGTTTTTTGTTCAAAGTGTTCTAGATGTAAGTACGGTGTTGTTTTTGGTAATTCTGACTAGCAGTGGAATCCACGTTTCGAAACACGTTTCAACTAAGACGATTGCATGCTGAACTTCAGACGTCGTCGTAGAGTCCATACTAGCATTCCTTATTTCGAAGGAAACTGAGCATTTAGGTCCAGTCTCATTAGTTAATGCGAAGCAAAGATTAACCAAAACTCCCGGAGGATTTCAATGTCTACATAATTAATTTTTGCATCCCAACAATAATAACAACTTCCGTCAGCTGTCCAGATCTCAACGATCATAAGCTTATCGCCCGTCCCAGAAGATTGCGCCTAATATGCTGAATACTATGCATGCTAACTGACGCAGAACAACAGAAGACAGCAGCCTAATACAATTGTTTATTTTTGCACTGATAACGAAACAGATTTACAAGTTACTAATTGCAAAGTCTGTAAATGAACGTCAATATAATGTATAATAATACTTCTGATCGTATTTCTCCAGCTGTCTATCATCCAGCTTACTATTAGGCAACGATAATCTTCTTGTCTTCCTTCAAATGGAGAATAGTTTGAGTAAACAAACAATTCAATGTCCACCAAAACTGACAGCTTCATTCTGCACAAAAACTTTACACAGTATATGGGATTCTCAGCGTTATTTACTTCAAGTAAAATAGTAATCTGTAATTTATCACGTGACGCCATGCTTTTCTACCTGCAGCATAGACTAATCCCTCATATTACTTTTCTTTCGTCTTTTCCAAGGAATGCACACCGGTAATTTGAAATTCGTCATCAGACTCTCAATTTATATGACAGTAACACCTACAGAAATATTGTCGTTGACAACACAAATGTTTCAGATTACATTAAATCGCTAGTGTATCGACAGAATTACATTTCGAAAGCATCAGTGACTAAGATTTAATGCGTTTTAATATAACCCTAGACTGATTATCAAATAAATTAGGGGAAATAACGTAGAATTTATAAATTTGGAGTTTCGACAACAGGCCGGAGTAGCAATGTTGACTGGACCAGCTTCTCCTGCACACAGACCACTAGTTGCTTTAGGCAAAATGCAATGACTAATGTTGCCTGGAGTGATTAGTACCTACAGACGCGTTTGGTATTTTATTTGGTACCCTAGAGATAACAGAGGAAGATTCTTCGGTGTTCGCTTTGTGCCTTGTGGAAACTGTCGACAGTTCTATATTGAACTACCACATGACCACAGGCCATAAAACCAACAATGAAGACGACATTCATGAAATCGGTAATACACTGTGAATACATGAATCAAGGACGTTAGGCAGAAAAATAAAATCTCCTTATATAATAAAATCATATAATAACGACAGCCTTATTCTGAACATATATGTATGCCGAATGTGATCTGATAGCTTTTTCGAACCTTCAGCGAACCAAATACCCTTTTAGAAGATGAATGACGTTGTCACGTACACAAGATACTCCTACATAAAAATGCAAGTTTATATCCTACAGCTCTCAATGTACTGATCCTAATTATACGAGGTAACTCTTCCGAAGGCTAATCATCAGTAGAACAAACTGAATGATTAAAATACGAGATGTATCTTGGGATAAGAATTTTAGCCCGTGATGCTGACTTGACTAGCAACACAGTGAGGCTACGAACAACCGCATGTAACACAACTGCGTGCCAACTGGTTCACCTTTAGTTTAACCAGTGGACACAAACAAGCAAGATCCGCACCTAGAGTTGGATGAGATGAAATTTGAAGTTCGATAATCTTGTGGAATTATTCTTATAAAGTATATACTGCCTGGAATTATACTTTTTCATTGCGTTCTAACTTCGTCAAATATGTGCTAAAATTGAACATCAAATCCATCGTTTTCTGCAGTCCTTCATCAAACTGAAAGAGGAAATATCGTAGTGGATTGTAACGACAAATGAATCGAGTATACAAACAGTATGAATCAAATGACTATCTGTGTTCATCACTTAACAGAATTCGTCGATTTATGAGTTAGATTTTTAGATTTCATCCTCAGAAGGAGTTTTTTTTTAATTTCCTTCACGTTCCCCAGTGGAACATAGGGCTTCAAGCTAGTGGCTTGAAGTTTCTGTAGCAGTACTTATTTTACAGGATGGGGTTGCTAGCCTCATGCCCAACCTTTCCTCTTCACCAGCATTATTTCTGGGTTAGCGAGTTAAAGGAGTGCGTCGGCCGGGGATCGAACCGCGGACCGTGTGCATGGTCGGCGAGCATCCTAACCACTGTGCCACCGACGCACGAAGGAGGAGTTGTAATATAACATGTGATCGTTGTCTAGAATAAAGTGATTATTCTTCTTCTTATGACAGTCGTGATTACTTCACGTAGATCTGCTAATCATGATAAACCGCAACCCTCAGCCCAGTTAAACTTGTGATTCCTTTCTGAATATACTTCAAAAATCTAGGTGACAAGAATCATAACTGAAAGAAACGCACATGTCTCACCAGCGCTTCGTTTACTAGACAAGTCATTAACAGCATATTCATCATATAGGTTGGTGATTAATGATTGCTAATGACAAATATTTTCTATTTCTCATTTCGAACGACCGACTCTATTCCACTCTTCTCTGCTTAGTCTACTGAATAAATCTGCTGACGTAAAATGTCTCACACACTCTCAGAATTTTACCATTTGAAGAAGAAATGGAGATTGATTGGAGGCCATACTCTGGGCAAACAAACCATCGAGTGACACCACACACAGGAGTGTCTCTCGAGTGGAACCCGAATTGATAGCGGTGAGTTAGTTGGCTGTCAGTGTTAGAGTGACTTTGGGGGAGGAGATGATGTGAAGAGGAGATGAAAGCATGCGCGTAGACGTGGAGTCAAGTGAACTCGTTTGTGGGGAACTGAACGCAATGGAGACGTACAGCTGAAGCCTTATAATTCTCTAGGAACTAAATGAGAAAATAATAATAATCATCATAATACAAGGAACATTGTATTGAAAATCTCCACAGAAACTATATTTAATAATTTCAACATACTTAGTTTCACAATGCATGAGAAAAAACAAACAACAAAGACAATTACAAAACACTCAGTCACTGGATTTAATCACAAAGTAACGTGTTAAACAAACTTCACTTCACTGCAGCATATTCTCAGATTCTATTCGGTTTGAGTTTTCTCTTGAATTTCTCCACATCTCTGTATATTTTGTGAAAGGCTTCCGATAATCGTTCCATAATTTTGACTATTGTTTTATAAAACGCTAATGATTTGTCATCTGAAGTTTTCGGTTTGTGAAATTTCGGGGGTGTTTGCATTGCTACACTGACTGATTTAACTTTGCCTCCTTCTTTTGAGTTTCCAGTGTCGCCTTTCGCAGGTGGACTGGGAATTGATGATGATTGTAGGGGCACTTGAGCAACCGCCGGCTGCGTGCTTTGAGCATTCTGTGTATCCGACAATGAATGAACTCCTAGATTGGCTTGCAGTAAAGCTAGTAAAACTGTGCAGACAAATACGTTCATAGTGGAATCAAATATCGTTATATCACATTAGCATGTTCTAACAAATCAGTTTATATATAAATATATCTAAATGCAATAAAAGTCACAAGACTTTGTGGAAAGTGTTTACAACCAATTGGATTTGATTCACTTTGACTGTTTATTTACATTATTTGTGAAGGCGTGGAATATTACTTTGATACAATGAGGGGTGAGATGATGTCAGTTGCATCAGGAGTTGAACCAATCGTCTTCTGGTAATTGGCTGCCTCTCCAATGACTTAATTAAAATACTACGATGCTTGTAGCATAGAGGAGACTTTAATAGAAACTAGGTCTTACACAAATTATCTTGGTATGATTATATTCTCTGATCTTACCTAATCATCCCATACTTTATCGATCTTCGAGAAAATGTCCCATCTAAGCTACTGCATTAAGAAGCTAAAACAATCTGGAATCATTCAAACTGTACTTTTACAGTTGATAAACTCTTGTATCTTACCTACTGGACTTAACTGCTACGTCTGAGTCTTTTCTGTACTGCTCATAAAGGACTACGTCATACTGAGATGGGTATTAAATGTTTTCAGAGGGGCAAGTGGAGTGCAATTTAGTCAACTGGTCGCATCATTAGTTGACAGAAAGCTGGAATCATGCAAGAAATGGTCAAAGTCTATATTGTCTGACCCTCAACATCCAAATCCTCTTTTCTACACACTCCCCGTCCCGTATCTCATCTGGTAGAACTGGAAGTCAGTGCAAAAGATTATATGCTCGAACTAACAAGTGTAGAAAGTCCACAACACCATATTTGGCCAGCCCATGTTCTATATAATAGAGACAATGTAAAGCGTGAAACATATGAATTACTACGTTGTTAGCAAAATAACTAGCCCTTTTATTGTCTTCCATTTGTATTCTATGGGGACACTATTTCGAATAACTGACAATCACTATTTACAATAAGTTTTTGTATATATATATATATATATATATATATATATACTGTATTTACTATTTACCATTATTTGTTGTATATATATGACTCCACTGTCACTACAAATAAGAATTGCCATTAAAAATCCTGTAATATTATTCCTAAGATCGTTTTTAATGTTATTCAATAAAATTCTAGATGCAGTAATGTACCAAATGATGAAAATTCCACATTGTATATCATTCGTACTGTTTTGGAATAAAGCAAATTATTACTATTATTATTCACTTCTTTAGCGAGAAATTAATGCGTCCAGCGGAATATTACACAAGGCCAGCTGTATGCGAAAAATTCAATGGTAGGTGCATAACCTCAAAGTGTTGGATGATTCAGGCTTGAATCTGTCCTCATGAAGATAAATAGATGCCCTACAAATGCGTGTAAGACTTAGGTGAATTGTATATTTCTGGTGGTGTCCTTAGACCACATGAAATCTAATCTACTGGGGAGTGAAATTAATGCGATAATATAAGCATGCCTGTATCATTCATTGCGTAGCAATGAACATGGATAAGGTGACTGTCTCAATAATTTAATAATTCTCATTGCAACAATAAGAACATAATATACAGCGAAGATACTCCTCTCAACGAATTTATTATCAAGCAATACAATCTTATGCGTATTTATGGTTTTGAATAAACTATATCCCGTGCATCCCATACTAATATTATTAGTCTGTCTGCTGATGTTGAATTCGTTGAAAAGAGTCTCTTCACTGAATATTGTGTTCTTAATGTAATTATCACTGTTATTTATCCCCTGGGTTCCGATGGGGTTCCTGGGTTTCCGCTAATAAAGCTGTGTCTTCTGGTAGTATTTTCGGAGGACCTGTGGTTGGTGGTGTATTCAGGTGTCCTTTGAAGCGATCAGCCCAAAGTTCCTTTTGCTTCTCCTCTTTGATAATTAGCTGCTTTCACCATCCTTCCCTGGTTTCGTCTGAATTTACCTGTTTCACAGTAGCGACCTGATTATCTGACATAGCATTATAGAATCTCTCTTATCTGTAGCCTGTTCTGCTTCAGTAGTCAGTCTGCTGTCTTTCCTAGCGTTCATCCTCAAGGATCTCAGCGAAATGCACTATCGAACACGTTCAAACCCTTCTTTGGTTTTTCATTTCTTCATTGACTCATCTTCTGCTTCAATCAACTTTCAGGTGTCAGTAAGGAGACATTCTTTATCATGAATGTCTCTCCATTCTAAGACTATACAGATTTTCTTGTATGTTACTTTCAAACAGTCCTAGTATTGTTTCACTCAGGTCTTCTAAGTGATTCTGCTTAATGTAGTCGACTTTTGTCCAGGTGACTTCAGCGAAGCTTCTCTTCATTGTTTTCTCCTTCACTTTCTAAGTGTTTAGCCTGCGTTGTGCTCTGTATTCAGATTCTTTGAAGGACTTCAGTTCAGCCTTGGAAGTTTCTTACACTGAACAATTGTTTGGTCCTATATCTACTACTCTTCTCGATTTTGTGCCTAACAGCTCGTGTCTCCACTCTCTTGAAAATGGGATGAAGTATAACTGATTTTTAATGTTACATCCATTTGACGGAGCACACATCACCTTAACTGCATCATTTTGCTTGTTCATGCTGTCTTCAATCAGCATAAGATCTAATGGTGCAGAAACCAGTAAACAGTTCTCTATTCTCATTTATTTAATATTTCCAAGTGAATTCGGCTGATGACCGTTCCCTTACTTCAACAGAAAGAATTTTATCGCACAGGATTTTTCGTAAGACGACTGCCAACGAATAATTACGTCATAAGATTTTTTGATATGAAGTGCTTCTGATGATGTAAAAAGTTCTTTCTGATTTCTGAATTTTTTCGGGATAACTTGAATATTGACAAAATCAATTTTGTGACCTGATTCTATAGCGTGTAGACTAGCTATGACTGATAACTTCTGGAGCTTTCGTAGTTCAACTGGATTTATTGGTGATTAAACAGATGCCCCATGGTGTTCATTGCTTCTGATTACCTTGATTTCTCTCTGTGGCGATGTTTATCCAATGTATACGCATCATATTCCGAGCATTTTATGTTGTAAACACAAACAGATTGAGAATCCTTAGAGACTTGGTCTTCTATGTTAACAAAGTTAATTTATAGTGTTTGTATCTGATGTTTTGAAAAAACTCTGGTGTCGAGCTTATTGAGTACTCTTCTGATATCATCTAACGTATCTGATGGTCTTTATGGAATGAAAACTGGTGAGGTCCAATTTTTTCGCAATACGTTTTCAACCATATTTAATGTCGGTGTTAATTTTGTTGATGAAGTTCTCTGGGGAGTTGTTTTCCTTGAGAGTTTCAGTAATGTATGCTATCTCTTCTTCTTTTCTTTTTCATCTGTTATCATCAAAGGATGTGCTCGTGTAAAAAGACTTCAAACAACTGATACCTTTGTGCTGATCGGGTGTGATGATCTGAAGTCTAAATATTTGTTGGAGTGGGTTTTCTTCCTGAATATAAATTTACTAAAATGCTCGTTTTCCCTCCTCTTGACTAGACAGACAGTCTAGAAATGATAGTTCACCGACGTTTGATTCTGCTTCCAAAGAGAAATGGATGCACTAGGAGATAGATTGTTCACTTTCTCCAAGAATGAACTCTTTAGATCTCGTTTTAGCACTACAAACGTATCATCTACATATCTTAACTTTGACTTTTCTATATTTCTCTTAATAACTGGATGGTCATCAAAATGTTGTCAGAAAAACGGCTTATTGTTTCAACTGGCGTTATGTCGAAATTCAGTTCCACGATTACAGGTCATGTTTTTATTCAGTAATAAGTGAAAGAAATGATTCGTGGAATTCACTGTATTTGGTAGCCTTCAGAGAATCAAAAACGGTTTCCGCTTACAAACACGTAAGCGTATTTTGATCTGATTGTGTTCTCTGAGCTGGATAGTTAATTTGCCAAGCTTTCATTGTCCCAACACTAGGCAACATCTTCAGAGCATACTTAGATTTTTCCACGAGTTTATTAGTCATCCTTCCTGGTGACCCTGACCTGGTTGGTTGTCTTTATGTGTTTTCTCACTCTCTAGGCTACTTGTATTGGTATTGTTGATGATTGTTTCCTTAACCTGAAGTTTGACCCATTGTATGTGTGAGATTTCTTTCTTATCGATTGGTAAATTTTGTCAATGCGTCTGTTTAATGCAGATTCTCTGAAATACCAGGCTTGTAAAAATTCTCTCGCATTCTTGGTGTTTCCTCTGTCTAATATTTGAACGTTATCCCAGTGAAATTGATGTCCGTGGTTGTCTGTATGCAATGGGGCGATATGAGGGAGTGTATGTCATGTCTTTTGACGGCTAGCTTATGTTTGTGGATACGAAGACGAAGAGGAGGGATGTCTACTTTGGCCAATGTAGTGTTTTTCGCAGTTGTTACAATCTATTTTGTAGATGATGTTGGTTTTATCTCCTTTCGTTGTTGAGTCTTTTGGTGGACATAGAGCCAGCCGAGTGAAGTTATTTTGTTGGTTTGTGTGCAACGTCCATTCCTGAAGGTTTGAAGAGTCTTGCAGTGATTTCTGAGATGTTCTTTATATATGGTAGGGCGATTTACTTTGTGCTTCCCTTGGGGGCCTTTGATATGATAGGTTATCTTGGAGATGTCTTTTGATGAAATTCCGTGGATATCCATCCATTCTTTTGGAAGACGTCCATGAGATATCTTTCTTCAACTTTCTTTAGCGTGGGAGTGCTGCAATGAGTCCTGGCTGGCCCTTTTGAATAGTGTTTGTATACAATTCCTTTTGTATTTATCACCACTGTTAGTTTCACTTATCATTATTCTTATTCTTTCAGGTTCTGAGTGGAGTTAAAAACTGCAGTAGTATGTCACCATTTCGATAGAACGTATGCTTATCTTTTCATCATTCCCCACAGCCTATCACATGATCCTGTCCACTACATGTACTGAGATGATTTGGCGATAGTGGAAAGGCTTGTGTAACTCTTGACTTCACCTACAAACACTTTGAGTGAGTTTTCCTTAATGTGAATTATTTGATAGGCGTATTCATCGAATAGTTGTTGAATAAGGTTTATAAGTGTTCGCGTTAACTGCTAGTTAATTGAAACGTGTAAATTAGTATGAATATTATAACTGGATCGTTGTGGAGTGATTTTCCAAATAATTTGTCCATTACAGACATTACTTTATCACCAGTTCATAAAACTTGGAATAACTCAGTGGTCTACAGTACACTTTCCACAGTATCGCAATAAACCTGCGCCTAAAATAAATCAGTCAGACTTAATTAACTTAGTACTAGGTAAATCAATTTCCAACCAGCCTACGGATGCGTCTGCATGTGAACAGACCTAGAAACTAGGTTGCTCATCACCTCAGCGCTAGTTACACGAAAATACTCAGAGTCCTTTGAAGTGAAAGTCCTTTGTATTTTTCACACAACCTTTTACTGTTCAATAGTGCCTCAGATCATATCAAGGATATGATATGATTTTGAGAAATAAATTGTGCTCGAAACGTCATCAGTAAACATTACTGTATAACACTGTGATACTTTATCAAAACAAATTTTAACCATGATGGAATTATATTCTACTACAGTGCACAAGAAGAAACTAATCCATTACGATTTCTCTTCTCTGACTACTTGGAGAAATACAAGACGACATTATGTTGCATGACAAATACGGAAAGTTTAGACGTACATATTATGAATAAAGGATACCAGTGAGGGACGATCACCTCATGTTCTGGGATGAGCTGACATCGAGGATAGTTCTTTTCCTCAAGATTAATCGAAACTGGAGGATCTGCAGTTTGTAAATATTCTAAATGATCATCATTGTGAATAATACTATTGGAAGTTTGATATAACTAGATTTAAAAACACTGAATTAAAAACACTGAAATGATATGTAATATATTGATGGAGGTTTCTGGTAGCGCAAGTCCTAAGCAGATCACCATTCATACTTGTGATATATAAATATGCCGTTTTGAAACTTGGATGACCGAAATACCTTTTAGAAGATGAGTGATGTTACCAGGCACACTAGACGCCTTCATATAAAAATGTAGGTTTGTGTAATACAACTCCCAATGTACTTCTCCTACTTAGACCAGGCAAATCTTCCGAAGGCTAATCATCAGTACTGCGAATTGATTGTCTAAAATACAAAATGTTTCTTGGGATAAGAACGGTGGCACGCTGATGTTTGCTTAAATAGCTACACAGTGAGGCTACGAACACCGAACGTAACACAACAGTGTGTCAAATGGTACACCCTCAGTTTAACCAACAGACTCAAACAAGCAACATCCGCGCCCAGAGTTGAATCAGATGAAACCTGCACTTCGATAATCTTGTGGAATTATTCACCGATACATCTATCGGTATAAAATATAAACTGCCTGCAAATATACCTTTTTTTTTGTTTCAACTTCGTCAACTTCGACATCAAATTCATCGCTTTCTGTGGTCCTTCATCAAAATGAAAGAGGAAATATCGTAGTGGACTGAAAGGAAAAATGAACTGAGTATACTGACAATGTGAATCAAATGACTATCTGTGTAAATCGGTTAAAAGACTTCACCGATTAATGAGTTCAATTTTTAGATTTTATTTTCAGAAGGAGTGAATTATGGTAATCATGATAATCCACAACTCTCAGCCGTGTTAAACTTGTGACTCCTTTCTGAATATATTTCAAAAGGCTAGATGACCAGATTCATAATCGAAAGAAAAGCACAGGTCTCATTAACACTTCGCTCAGTAGACAAGCCACTAACAGAATATTCATCATGTAGGTTTGTGATTCATGATTTCGCATGACAAATATTTTCTATTTCTCATTTCAAACGACCGACTCTACTCTACTCCACTCTCCTCTGCTCTGCTGTAGTCTACTGAATAAGTCGTCTAAACAAGGATGTCTCACTTACTTCGAGAATTTTATGATTTGAGGAAGAAATGGAGGTGGATTGAAGGCCATACCCTGAGGAAACAAACCATCAAGTGACATCACATACCAGGCTCTCTCTATCGAGTGGAACGTGAATGTGAATTGGCGAGTTGGTCGTCAACGCGAGATTGACATGGTGGGGGAGGTCATTCGAAGAGTACATGAAAGCATGCGAGTAGGGTTGGAGCCAGGTGAAAGTTGCGGAGAACCCAACGTGTGGCTTAAGACCTATTTTCCTCTAGGAACTAAACGAGACAATAACAACAATAATGATCATAATAAGGAAAACATTGTATTGACAAATCTTTACAGAAACTATATTTGATAAATAAAAGAGACTTAGTTTCACAATACATGAGCAAAAACGAAACACTCAGTCACTGGATGTAATCTCAAAGTAACGTGTTAAACAAACTTCATTTCACTGCAGCATATTCTCAGCTTCTATTCGGTTTGAGTTTCCTCTTGAATTTCTCCACATCTCTGTATATTTTATGAAAGGCTTCTGATAATCGTTCCATAATTTTGACTACTGTTTTATAAAACGCCAGTGTTGTGTCATCTAGAGTTTTTGGTTTGTAAAATTCCGGGGGTGTTTGCACTGCTACATCAACTACTTTAACTATGTGCTCTGGTTTTTCTTCTCCTGGTAAATTTTCTGTGTTTTCTGCGTCTCCTGTAACATTCGGCGTTATCACCACTTCCATCTGTACACTTTTATTATCCTGTGAATCAGCAGGTGGTGTACCGACTGCTGGAGGCGTAGTTTCAGCATTCTGCATAACAGAAAATGAATGAACTCCTAGATTGGCTTGCAGTAGAGCTAGTAAAACAGTGCAGAGAAATACGTCCATAGTGAAATCAGATATGGTTATATCACATTAGCATGTTCTAACAAATCAGTTTTTATATAAATTTATACACTTGCAATACAAGTCACAAGATTTTGTCCAAAGTGTTTACAACCAATTGGATTTGTTTCACAATGATTTCTTATTCACATTATTTGTGAAAGCATGAAATAATACTACTTCCATACATTGAGGGGTGGATTATGTCAGTTGCATGAGGAGTTAAAGTAGTGGTCTGACTCTCCAATGACTGAATTAAGAAACGTGACTGCCAATCAAGTCTTAATCTTATAGTAGTCACACTTCGTTTCAGGGCGTACTACTACTACAGCCAGCCAATCATTTTGTACTATCTCATTTTTCACATTAATAGTCAAATCGAACGGAAGGGGCAGAAGCAAGTAGTCAGCTGTGACAAACACTAAGCCAGCTTCTAATATTCACACTCCCCATCGCCTAGATTTTATTCGTAATTAATGTCTCATTTTGTCTGATTAGTCAAACAAATTGAGTGAGCATAAAAGCTGATGTTTACGTGTGTGTTAATAGTTTCCGAATGTTTTTTAAAAATTTTTTAGATTTGATTCCTTTGTGATCACACCGGAACAGAGGATTCAAGCTAAAGGTTTGAAGTTTCCGCAGCAGTGGTCTAATTTTGACGGGGAGGGGGGATTGCTAGTCTCACGCTTAACCTCCCCTCTTTGCCAAGCTAATTATTTGCTAAGAGAAGTTTGACAGTTCGTACGTCGGTTGGGAATCGAACCACTGACCACCTCATTGGTAGACAAACATTCTACTACCGCGCCACAGACTCACCTTTGCAGACTCGTTAACAATAAATACCACGATTTACTGAAATGAACTTTTCGAGTAGTGACGAGGCAAAATGTCAATGAAATAGCCCACAGAAATCATAATAAACACATAGACAGTAACTAACTGACTTAGTATAGATATAATTGAAACTTAACACACCGAATAATGTTAATTTCTTCTACTTTTCAGTTGCCTAGAATAGACGGTGTCATGTTGTTTTTCGTTATCGAGGTTTATTCACTTCTTTGTACAAGGTCAAGTGTACCAGAACTACCCCAACACTAGGTGTATAACCGCAATGCTGTATGATTTGGACGATCTACAAATGCGTATAAGACTTAGGTGAATTGCATATTTCTGATGGTGTCCTCAGACCACATGAAATCTAATCTACTGGGAAGGGAAATTAATGCGATAATATAAATATGCCTGTATCATTCATTCCATAGCAGTGAACATGGATAATATAGACTGCCTCAATAATTTAATAATTCTCATTTCAATATTAAGAACATAATATTCAGCAAAGAGACTCATTTCAGCGCATGCATTTCATATTATCATTACTATTATTTTATCCATTGATGATATATCTGTTGAAAGTAGTCTCTCCACTGAATATTGTATTTCTAATGTGATTATCGTTATTAGTCGTCCCTTTGGTTTCTTATTGGAACATCAGACTTCGAACGTAAACCGCCACTTCACTTCGTTCTCTGCAGTCTTTTCTAGCTGGCTGTACAACTACCCACATGCTTCCATTCCCCCTCCCCATAATCACAGGATCTCCTCTATATCACGCTTTGACAATTGCCCAACTCGTCGCTTCCCATAACTGTTTCGTTCGGCAGCCTGCCTGGAATCTGCGTGATATCACTCAACAGTTTCATCAGTATATGTCCCTCCATACATTTGCTAGTCAATAGGTAGTTGGTTAGTACACTATCGCAATTCCCCGCTGCTCTTCTTTTCTCAACGACTGGATGGCCATCTCATCTTCATTGAAGGCATCTTTCGGTGAATATTTACGATAGTCTGTCAAAAATGTACTTAATGATTATCACACAGAGTGTCTAAACTACATAGAAGCACTCAGTTGACAATGGTGCTAAGTAGGATTCAAATCTTGTTTCTTGTACTGAATGAGTGCAGTAAATCTCCACACAGATTTCAGAGTAATGAACGCATGTTTGCTGAAACCTCTGGAGAGGTTATCAGCGTTTCCTGAGGAATTCAACCGGTTCCTTTGCATTATGGATTTAAAATTTTCTGTTTTTTGGGACGATTGTGTCAACTAGTGGGTCTGTGTCCGCTGATTGTATTTCTGGAGGACTCGTAGTTTTTGGTAAACTCAGGTGTCCTTTGAACTGATTATCTCATAGTTTTCTTCTTCTTCTTTTCGATAATTAAGTTTACTTCACTATCCTTCATTGGTTTCATCCGAGTTTATCTCTTCCTGGGTGGTGACCAAGTTTTCTGATTAAGTTTTCTAAGATCGCTCTTATCTGCAGCCTGTTCTGCTTAATTAGTCAGTTTGTTGTAGAATTGACGTTCGCCTTTCCTAGCAATCATCTTCACTCATTTTTGTTTAATACGCTTTCAATAAAGTTCATCTGCAGCTGTAGTTGTTGATTTCCGCAATGACTCATCCACCGCTTCACCATGTTTTTTCCTTCAGTTGGCATCCAGTTGTCCGTATACAGAAATTCTTTGTCAAATCTCTTCGTCCTTACCAAGATGACTATACAGGTTTTCTTCTATGTCGCTTTCAGTTAGTTACAGTTTGTTGCCACGCTGGTCTTCTACTTGATTCTGACTAATGTAGTCGACGTTTCTTCTAATGACCACAGAAAAGCTTTCATTCTTTGTTAACTTTTTCTCAACATGACTTCAGTGGCTTTATATTTATCTCAATAAATGATACCGCATAGACTGGGTGATGCAGGCAATCTCGTAACACTATTCCTTGCTACTATTCTATACTTCTGTACACTTTGTTTTTCGGAGCATCTGATGCTGGAGTTTTCATGCTTTATTCTGCAAACTGCATTATACATCCAATATCTGACGACTTCGTTTCGTCTCGCTTCCACAGATAAGAATTTGTAAAGAACTTGTCGACTTTTCACTGAACACTCATTGTCGTTATCAACCATGATGTTAAACTAAACACTAAAACTATTGCTTGAATTATTTACTATAAAGTTAAACGTAAATTACGGGTGAAGATGCTTCTTTTATTCCTTGTGAGCAGCAAGTGGAACATCGGACTTCAAGCTAGAGCTCTGAAATCTCATTAGCAGTGGTGTTTATTACAGAGTAGAGTTACTAGTCTCATGCCCAACCTTCTCTCTGTGTTGGGCTTATAACTCGCTAAGAGGAAGAAAGGTACGCGCCGAGTGGGAATCGAATCCTGGACCACGTGTTTCACTGGCGAGCAATCCACAGTTAAGCCATCAACGCAGAGGTAAAGATACTGAAGATTAGATTCTGTAATGTATCATTAACCCAGAATCAAAAATTTGTAGCCTTAGTAACACGGTGATACTTCGGCTCATTGTGAATATAATTGAAATCCAGGATGCACAGTTTATCCCAATCAGGACTCGTCGTCAGGATACACTCACATCTTCCCAATGAGTTTGAAGCAACGAGTGCCGTGAATCGAGTCTCGAGGGGAATCTAGCTGTCAATCCTCAGACAGGGTGTTCCACAGTTAGTCACCATTCACCAAAATAAAATACAAATTTTCTCTAAGACAATTTCTTTCTTAAGACTACAGCTCAATTACTAATTGTTGAGAATATTCACTCACTAATTTCGTTTTCATTTATATCAAAAAGGTCAACGATGGATGAAAGATGATCACCACACTCTGTCCATTTTGTAGAATATCAAATACCACCAACCAACAGAAACTTGACACACACACACCTAAACTCTTTTCTCTGCAATATTTAAAGTAAAACTTGTCTCAGCTGTACTCATTCTCGTTTATTCACAGTATGTCAAAAAAGGAAAATAATTGAATAAATATCTATCTATTGAATATTGAACATTGAATAAACTGAATCATACTGTGATAAATACAAAAATATGAAACTATCAGATGTCGCGTTTTCAAGAGTATTCCTCCTGAACATCCTCCTATCCTCAATCACATATTCAATGAAATGTTGTCAAGCAACATTTGACATTGTCGCATTAACTGGTGATGAACACACTTTGGCAAAAAGACAATTTCAAATGAGTATAGAAGAAGCTTTGAGAAGAATAGCTGCACAAACTCCAGGCGGTCAATCTATGCTGAGTGAATCACAGTTAACAGAACTTATAGGCACAGACGGGAGCACAAGATATCAAGGACCAGTACTACAAGAATTCAGAAACATTGCTCAATCAATCACTAGATTCGGTCCTGGGAATTCTTCAATTAGGCTTGATCGAAATGTGTGGTGGATGCAGGTCATCAAAGTAATTGTGTTACTTTTCACTTGTAGTAAACTCTTCAAATATTTCTGTTAGTGCAATTGATTACATGCTTTTTGTGTTTGAAAAATGACTTTTGTATATTATATATGTCCAAACCAAGTTCACTTGTAACAGTTTGAAAAAATTCGGGCATTGGGTATATGATATTCATAATAATAAAGTTTTTCTATTTTTCCCAATGAATGACGTTTCACTATTTAATGCTAATAGCTTTATCAGATTAGTATTATTATTAAAATAGAATTTAGGAAATCCAGTCAGCTTATGTAGAACAACTTAATCATCGTTCCTCAGCAAGGGGCCATTTTGCCATTTTTGCGTTGTGAAGTTGGTCAACTGGTAAAGATAACAAAATCAGGTGTAGATTGTTGGATTTGAAAAGTGAATGAAATTGTTTACATAATGAAATTGCTTATCACATTCGTGTCGATTTTATCATTTCATGGAGTGGGAATGGGGTGTTCCAGCTACGTGGAATTCTGTTTCAGTCCATCATTAGTATTCAGAAAATTCGGAATCCATTTGATATGAAGCGCTTCTGATTATGTGAGAAGTTCCTTGTGATTTCTGAAATTTTTCTGGATTACTTCAATATTGCCAAAATCAATTTTGTGACCTGATTCTATAGTGTGTAGAACTATGGCCGATGATTTTTCAAACTTTTCTAGTTCAACTGGATTTTTCCGTCATCAAACGGATGCCCTACGATGTTCATTTCTTCTGATTACCTTGATTTCTCTATGTGGCGGTGTTTATTCGATGTATATCTTATCACATTCCAAGCATTTATTTTGTAGACACAATCAGATTGAGAATCCTTAGGAATTCGGTCTTTTATGTTGACAAGGTTGATTTGTAGTGTGTGTGTTTGATGTTT